ATTCATTTGATTTTAAATATATGATTTAGTCTTAATTGTGTAACTACAAAGATCAAGTTCAGTTTAGCTATATAAAAAATTAGCCTTAGAAGCACAAAGTTTAGATGAAAATGAAAAGCCCAAATTGACTCCAAATTAAGTTCTTACATTTATTACATNANAAAAAAGACCAGATAATGATAATTTGTAATTTATGAACAATTAAACCTCATTATTAAAATGTATTAAACAGCTCTAACAAAGAAAAATTAAATTCTTATCAATAACTACATTAAAAAAAATATTTATTAAGATATAACTGAAAATAACATATTAAGTTATTATAGTCATAGTCTAATTTTATGATCCTTATATTTTATAAATACATTTTAATATGAATTTTTAATATAATACTAAATTAAAAAACTTAATATGCATAGAGAATTAAAATATGAAAACATATAATAATAAAGTTATTTAACAATATGTTTAGTGATCAACTCACATAATGTATACAGCTTATATAAGTTTAGTCAGTTCATATTCAATTTCTATTAGTAAGCGGTTTCTTTTTCTTTATACATTAGAAATTGCATATGTCCAATAATTTGTTATAAGTTCTTAGTATATAAATATCAAATTTATGTAATATTAAATACACAAATAATCAATAAGGTACAAATTATTATATATTTTACGATGTTAAATTTTAAACCCACGCATAGCATGGGCAATCCCTAGTATATATAATAAAAGAGTTTTCTCTTATTCTAAGGTGTCCATCTAAGCAAAATATTTGTTTTTTCCATTTAAATCAAATAGAAATGTTCATTTAATTCATGTTTACTAGATATTTAAATTAAATCAAAATGCTAAAATAAGTACCGATTAATAATTTCAAAAATTTAATGTTTGTATTAATATTTTTTGATATATCCACAAGACTAACATAAAATCTCTTAGATCGCATTTCTTGTCTTCAAATAAAATAGTTTTTTTTTTAAAAATACTGACAAAGATTATTGGACCGGGTAATTATTAGTTTTAAAGTTGACCTAATTCGTTTCACTATGTAAACATGATATGTGAAATGGAATAGGATAATTAATGATTCGATGGAAAATTATCTTATCGCACGCTATATTTGGTTTGATGGATAAAACGTCATCACCAAACCGATTCTAACATCATCAATATTTCTTTAATACCTTTGAAGTAAATGATAATTCATATTTAGGATACTAACATTTAATTAGGGGTTGCGTTATATTCGCATCCGCATTTAAAAATTTTTATGATTGCGCAAGTGGTCAACATTAAAGATTTTTGGAGAGATGTTCTTATGAGACTTTAATATGAAAATAAATTTTTCCGAGATAAATGATGGTGGGATGGTCACTGAAGTCGTTTCCTCTTCTTGTGAGGTTCATAATTTATTTTGGTTGCCATGTGGCACTTAGCGATTCGTTGTATTTCAAAAAAAAGAAATTTTCTTAACA